CAAGGGTAATTTTGTACAATTAATCATAGCCTTCTCAAGGGAAATAAAAATAATTTGTTTTTAGTATGAAAGAACCTATAATTATTCAGTGAGAGAGGAAAACCCATTCATTAATATGGCATGTGTACCCTGAATGTGGTGAAACGAATTGCAGTTCTTACTGTTAGTCTTAGCCATAAAAAAAGTGTAGTAAATCTTGTCAGTTCTGATAATCTGCCTTGATGAGAGATAAACAATGCATTTTAGCATTTCAAGAGGTAAATCTTAAATAATCTGTGGAGAGAACAGCACCAAACCCTCTGGAGAGATCTCTGAGATGGTAACACTTCTTCATAAACTTGGAATTAGTGATGTGACTTATCACTGCTTCAGTTGTTGAAATAAAACCATGGTCTGTACTGAGAAGCCAGGTTGACTATGTGCAATCCCAAGACTGCCAAGAACATCCTGGGAGGCCACATGCTGGCAGGAAGGGCTACAGTTCAGTTATGGATCTGCCCGTTGGGTAAAGGGGATGCTCAATAAATATGGAATCATAATAATAAATTTTTTGTAAATAAAGTTTCTATATATTTGGGATCTTGGTCATAAATCTTGACTTAAGATAAAAATATCCAGAAAAGATATAACTCCCTTGTAACCAGCTGCAGAATCAAGCTTCATATAGCAGGGCAGTAGGCTTTCAATTAAATTTCTTTTATTAATAGTTCCATTGAGAGATAATTCACATATCATAGAATTTATTCACTTAAAGTGTACAGTGCTTTCAATTTTTATTTACTTTTAAAAGTGTTTTTTTTTTTTGGCAATTAAATGGTATTCCCCTTTAAATCAGAAACATAATACAAAGAATGCCTATTTAAAAATTTGCATAACCGGCTAAGGAAGTGGCTCATGCTTGTAATCTCAGCACTGAGAGGCCGAGGTGGGAGGATCCCTTGAGCTCAAGAATTCGAGACCACCCTGAGCAAGAGCAAGACCCTGTCAATACTAAAACCAGAAAAACTAACTGGGTGTGGTGGTGGGCACCTATAGTCCCATCTACTTGGGAAGCTGAGGCAGGAGGATTGCTCGAGCCCAAGAGTGAGGCTGCTGCAAGCTGTGTTGACACCATGGAACTCTACTCAGGGTGACAGAGAATCTGCCTCAAGAATAAATAAATAAATGAATAAATATATAAATTTGTAGTGTGTGTACTTGCAGATTATGTGCTGTGGCAGACAGAATAATGTTCGCCCCGCCCTGCCCCCTAGATATCTACATCCTATTTCCCCAAACTTGTGAATATACTGTTATGTGGCAAAAGGGAATTAGGTTGCCAATTAACTGACTGGGAGATGAGATCATGGACCTTGGTTAGCTGGGTGGTTCTGTTGCAGGAAGACAAGGCCCAACAGAGAGACAGAGTACCCAAACACCATGTTTATAAGAGGAAGGGCTTTATTTACTGGCTGGGAGCTTATGGCATAGAAGATTTCCAAATGGCCGCGCTCCCTGACTGGCTTGGTCTTTCCTTTTTTTTTGACAGTCAAAAAGTTCCATCCCAGAGGTACCCCTCTCATTGGCCAGTTTGAATCAAGCGGGACATGCTATTCCAGCCCCTACAGAACTACAGGATTTCACAGAACTTGGAAATTTCCAAGTTCCAAATTCCCAAGAGCTGAGTCACCATGGAGAGGACCTTGCAAGTGTAACCTTGTGGTCTCCTTGAGAAGACCTGTTCTCCTGTTGCAGGAAGACAAGGCCCAATGGAGAGAAAGAGCACCCAAACACCACATTTATAAGAGGAAAGCCTTTATTCATCAGCTGGGAACTTACGGTATAGATTTCCAAATGGCCGCACTCCCCAACTGGCTTGTTCTTTCCCTTTTTATTGACAATCAAAAAATTCCACCCCACAGGTACCCTTCTCATTGACCACTTTGAATCAAGTGGGAGATGCTAGTCCAGCCCCTATAGAAATAAAGGATTTCACAGAACTTGGAAATTTCCAGGTTCCAGGAAGTTAAGCCTACAAATTCCCAGAGCTGAGTCACCATGGAGAGGACCCTGCAGGTGCATCCTTGCAGTTACACTAAGAAGACTTGTTCTCCCAGACCTTGCCCTTCTTGGGTATCCTCTCTCACTCCTAGACCTCACCCTTCTTGGGTATTCTCTCTCCAGTGTATTCTCTATTCCAGTGTAATTTAAAAATAGAAGAGTGGGGCAGTGCCTGTAGCTCAATGAGTAGGGCACTAGCCACATATACTAAGGGTGGTGGGTTTGAACTTGGCCCCAGCCAAACTGCAACAAAAAATAGCCGTGCACTGTGGCAGGTGCCCGTAGTCCCAGCTACTCAGGAGGCTAAGGCAAGAGAATCACCTAAGCCCAAGAGCTGGAAGTTGCTCTGAGCTGTGACACTACAGCACTCTACCAAGGGCGATAAAATGAGACTATCTCTCAAAAAAAAAAAAAAAAAAAAAAAAAAGGAAGAGGGGGCCAGGCCTGGTAGATCATGGCTGTAATCCCAGTCTCCTGGGAAGTCAAGGATCTCTTGAGTTCAGGAGCTTGAGACCAGCCTGAGCAAGAGGGACAGGCTTCTATCTCTACTAAAAATAGAAAAATTAGCCGAGTGTGGTGGTGGGCACCTGTAGTCCCAGGGTGCTCAGGAGGCTGAGGCAGGAGGATCACTTTTGCTCAAGAGTTTGAGGTTGGGCTTGGCGCCTGTGGCTCAAGTGGCTAAGGTGCCAGCCACATACACCTAAGGTGGCGGGTTTGAATCCAGCCCGGGCCTGCCAAATAACAATGATGGCTGCAACCAAAAAATAGCCTGGCGTTGTGGCGGGCGCCTGTGGTCCCAGCTACTTCCGAGGCCGAGGCAGGAGACTCGCTTGAGCCCAGGAGTTGGAGGTTGCTGTGAGCTGTGATGCCAGGGCACTCTACCCAGGGGGACAGCTTGAGGATCTGTCTTAAAAAAAAAAGAGAGAGTTTGAGGTTGCTGGGAGCTATGATGCCTCGGCACTCTACCCTGGGTGACAGAATGAGGCTCTGTCTCAAACAAACAAACAAACAAATAAATAGGCTTAGTACTAGTAGCTCAGTGGTTAGGGCGCCAGCCACATACAACAGGGCTGGCAGGTTCAAACCCAGCCCCAGCCTGCTAAACAACAACTACAATGACAACAAAGAATAGCCAGGTGTTGTGGTGGACACCTGTAGTCCCAGCTACTTGGGAGGCTGAGGTAAGAGAATTGCTTAAGACCAAGAGTTTGAGGTTGCTGTGAGCTGTAACACCATGGCACTCTACCGAGGACGACACAGTAAGATTCTGTTTCCAAAAATAAATAAAAGAAGAAAAAAACAAAAATATAAAAATTGCTTAACAGTTCTTCTATGTAAAGAATTTTCTCTGCTTATTGGGGCCAAGAGAAAACATATCCTATGCAGGTTTAAGTTAAAGTACAAAATATGATCAAAACATTAGTTAGTACATAGGTGGCATGCTTAGTGAGAAAAGACTGAAGCTGGGTCACAGCTCAATGGCTCTCTTCGATGTCCTGCAGGCTAAGGCAAAGTTTAATTTGCAGGCCCTCACTTATTTCCAGGAGGTTAGGGAGAAACTTCCCCTGCTAACAACTCCCCCAGCTAATGGCTGATGCATTGTGATGGGTATAATCTCACCCAGAGAAGAAGTGATACTGTATTAGGAGGGGAAAAAAGAAATAATATCCTTGGGGTTTAAACTGAAGAATGTGTTGAAATAAGAGTTCAACCTCTCCATTTTCGGAAGGTTGGAAGGTTTTGAGAATTCTGAATGTCACCTCACACTGTGTTAACGTGTGACAGATGGAATATACCTAAAAACCATGTTTTTTTTTTTTTTGCTAAAATACTAATGTGTAGAAAAAATATAAACCCTCTCCCATGAAATGGACAGAATTGTCCACAAAGATGGGATCTTTCTGGTTTGCCCTAAAGAGCAGGTTTGCTATTTAGGTTGACCCATAGATTGGTAATTTGTCTGAAACAGTTTTTCCTTTCCAAGATTGCATGTGAGTGTATAATAGGGAAGAGAATAGGATAAATTTGGTCCAGCCCATTCTGATGTCACTGGGGACTAATGGTTCTTAACATAGCTTTGTCTTGTGATTTCTCCCTGTGTTAACGCCAAGCATTTGACAATACAGCTGGAGTGGGGCAGTTATCAGAGTCACTCTCTGATGACTGACGTTTGTGTCAGGGCTCGCTTCCGGTGCCCAGGACATGCTAAGGTGTTTCCAGGAACTCTGGCTAGAAGCACTCCAGGAGTCTGGGGAGCGGGTTGTTTTTCTGAAATGTCTGCACTCTTGTCAGGGTTAACAGCATTCCTTCCTCACAATTGTAATAAATATTCCACGTTCCAGCTTAGGGACTCTCAGATGCCGAGCACGTTCTGCTCGGAACTGCGGGTGCGCGAATCCGTGGTCCCGGCTGGTTTGCACAGACGTGGCCTGAGCGTTCGGTCCCTGGCTACTTGCTCCCTGGCTCCAGCTGCAATCAGGCTTTGAACAAGTCACCTGTGGGCGGGGACAGGCCGGTTTCCCAGGCGACCTGAATGAGAAGATAGAAGAGGCTCAGACGTGGGCCCCGCACGAGTTGCTCAACAGACAGGACAAACGGTAGGCCAGCCGGCCCGCAGGGCACGCCCACGGTCGACATCCGGTGCTGACTGCAGTGGCCAGCTCGTTCAGGTTTGCTGGGGAAAACCCGGTGTCCTGGCGGCCCTGTTCCCCACTATGGCACCGCAGGTGTCCTCCCAGCAGCCGGGCGTGCGTGCGCCTCCCAGAGGGCAGCGCGGCCCCCACTAACGGCAATCCGCGGAGCAGACCTCGGAGCGCGCGGCACAGGAATCCCGTGCGTGCTGACGTCACGTGTCCTCACGTGCAGTTGTCCAAACCCGTGCGCGCTGACGTTACGTGCTGTCGCCGCGCTCCCGCCCCCGGTCCACGAAGGCCCACGGCGCGGTAGTGTGTGGTATCTGTTTCCGCCGCGCGGAGGCGCTTCTTGGCGGCTGCTTAAAAGCCTGAGGAGCCGGAGTGACTGACGTTCCCGCCTTCTTCCTTCCAGTCCGCGACTTCTGGGTCAGACATGGACAAAGTCTGTGCGATTTTTGGAGGCTCACGAGGCATTGGCAGGGCGGTGGCCCAGGTGATGGCCCCGAAAGGCTACCGGCTGGCCCTTGTCGCCAGGGACCTGCGAGTGGCTCAGGCCGCCGCCAGTGACCTCGGCGGTAGGTACTAGCTGGAGTCGTGCAGTTGCCGGAGGTGTCAGGCTAACTCCGAGCAGGGAAAAAGCAGGGCGGGGGTTTTCCCCGGGAACCCACGCGGCCGGTTTCAAAGAGAAGCTCTTCTGAGTAGCGGCCGGTTTTGAACTATTTGTTTGCTCTGCTACGTCTGTCAGCATTTTAATAAGGTATTCAGTTGCTGCGGTGGATTTTGCAAATGGTCAATTGAAATTTGTTCTGTCAGAATTTTTTTTATTGCATTTAAAATTCAGTCTTTTCCGCGTTTTGCAAATGAAATTAAGCATTTTTTGGGGGGGTAGGTAGAAATAGAACTTTAGAAAGATAACTAAGAGGCCGCTATTTGCTTAGTCACTAGAGTGGAAAAAAAACCACTTTGATTTACTGCTAGGAACACATTGCATCTTGTGGTGGGTACAGTGAGGATTTCATTGGCTTCAAAATCCAAAAGTTTATTTTAAAAGGTTTGTTTGTTGGGACTAAGGTGCCTTGGTAGTGTGCATTTTTTGGCCAGACAATTAAAAAATATCATTTTCCCCTTAAATAAATACATATGTAATGTAACGTATGTAATTGATAAGTGATTTAAAATGTCATGAAAATACAAACATTTCCTGTGGAAATGCTTTAAGAAGATGTATTTCCATTACCCTATTTTTATTTATTTATTTATTTATTTATTTTAGTTCTTTTTGCAGTTTTTGGCCGGGGCTGTGCTTGAACCCGCCACCTCTGGCATATGGGGCTAGTGCCTTACCCTTTTTTTTTTTTTTTGAGGAAGAGCCTCAAGCTGTCCCCCTGGGTAGAGTGCCGTGGCATCACAGCTCACAGCAACCTCCAACTCCTGGGCTCAAGCGAGTCTCCTGCCTCCGCCTCCCAAGTAGCTGGGACCACAGGCGCCCGCCACAACGCCCGGCTATTTTTTGGTTGCAGCCATCATTGTTGTTTGGCGGGTCCGGGCTGGGGATTCGAACCCGCCACCTTAGGTGTACGTGGCTGGCGCCTTAGCCGGTTGAGCTAAAGGCACCGAGCCTGCCTTACCCTTTTGAGCCACAGGTGCCACCCTCTTATTTTTAGTGTACACCACTTGAATACAGAGCAATGCTGTGTATAAGTTTGATTTTTTTCTTTTTTTTAAACTTACCTGGTCGCTGAGACTGTAATGCTCAACATGTTTACTAAAAGATCACTAAACTTTATCTTCTCTTTTCTTTTTCTTTTTTTTTTCTTGAGATAGAGCCTCAAGCTGTCCCCCTGGGTAGAGTGCTGTGGCATCAAAACTCACAGCAACTTCCAACTCCTGGGCTCAAGCGAGTCTCCTGCCTCAGTCTCCCAAGTAGTTGACGCCTGGCTCTTTTTTGGTTGCAGCTGTCATTGTTGTTTGGTGGCTGGGGCTAGATTTGAACCCGCCACCTTAGGTGTATGTGGCTGGCGCCTTTGAGCCACAGGCGCAGAGCCTATCTTTTCTTTTCAAGTTCTTTGTAGTAATAGTTCATAAAAATTTGTTTATTAATTTAAAAAAACCCCCCAAAAAACCAACCTGACTGGTTGGTTTGGTATCACCAGTGCAGCCTAATTGTTCATATGGATTAGAGAAAACTGGGTGTTTTGAAACAAAAACACCTGTAAGTTATAGCCCAGGGAGGATTTCAGGGGATGCTGCTTGCAGCTGTATTCACTGCCATTCTGACAACCAGGGAAGAGTGGCCACCTTACTGGGACACTCAGGGGTTTGCTTTAAAACAATGGCTGAGGGTAAGGCTGGTTGTGAACTCAGGTAAAAGCCAGGAGATGCTATTGGGCCTTTCTACTTTTTTAGAGATAAGATCTTGCTGTGTTGCCCAGGCTGGGGTGCAGTGGCATGATCATAGCTTCTTGTGGCCTCAAACTCCTGGGTTCAAGTGCTCCTCCTGCCTCAGCCTCCCACAGCATTGAGCTTCCTTTCATTTTCTTGAATCATTCATTCTGTGAATGATTGGTTTTCATCAAGTGTGGTTTCCCAGGTGACTTACTGTTTCCAGAGGCTTGGGTAGTAATTTTACAAATATATTTGTCAAGGTCAGCCAGAAATTAAGCAATTTTTTTAGATTTTTAAAGAAAATTCTAAAGAAATTCAATATTAAAATGGTAGATTATTAAATAAGGAGGGCCTTATTTTCCTTTAAAGTGTAATTTTGGGGCATGTAACCATTTTTTTCAAAAGTAATAAGGCCTGTTTTTAGTAAAAAGTTTTCTTGTGTATGCAGTTTGTAGGTTTAGCATTTTTTACAGCTTTTATTGTTGTCTCCTCTCCTTATGGTCAGGCTTAAATAATAGTTATTACAATATATGTGCTGTGGTGACTCTGTAGCACTTAAAAAAACAAGAAACCCTGGAGTTCGTGTTCAGGGCCAAACAAACCAATTCAACAAAAACCTGACAGAATTAGACATAAATTTCGAAAAAGGGAATATAAAACCCAGAAGACCATCAAATTGAGTAGGTTTGACACTAGGTTCAGTGTTAAAGCACTAAATAATATTAAAGGAATCTTACAAAACCTTATAAACTTGAAAAGGGCTCATCCTACTCGTGTTGATTATAAACAAGGTTTATAAATGTACTTTCTGTAGCGTTACTTTCTTCTTGCTCCCTAACCACCCTCATCCCAGTTTTACTGGATCAACTCCCTGGGTACAGGGCCCCATGACATGCTTTGTTCTTTTATCTCTGGGTCCTGGGTTAGCACAGGCCTGCTATGGTTGACGCTTAATAAGTGTGAATTGAGTAGATTTAAAATTCAAGGCATAATTTATAGGCAATTATAATTTAATTTTGTTCTGTAGGAGATCATTTGGCATTTAGCTGTGATGTTGCTAAAGAACATGATGTTCAAAATACATTTGAAGAAATGGAGAAACGTTTAGGTCCAATACGTTTCCTCGTAAATGCAGCTGGTATTAACAGGTTGGTTACAGATTTGAGTATATTTCTAATGTCTTTTTTAAAAACTTTTATGCTTGGTATGTCTTTGATTGGTGTAAGTTAATTAAGTTGTTACACTTTTTACTGTGTTACATTGTTTTCATTAGTTAGATAGTGTCTGAGTTGAGCTGAGCCCTTCACCCAGGAGGTGCATCATATATCCTACACTGTGCTGGTTAGGTGGGAGCTTGCCCAGCCTCCTCCCTCTCCCTGCTTTCCTCTCTTCCTCCCTTTTTCCCTTTCTCCCTCCCCACCCCCATTTGAATTTGATTGTGTTTTTTGTCTCGTGTGGGCCTGTAGTTGATTACTAGTTTCAAATTAGCACTGAGTACATAGGATACTTTTTCATTTTTGAGAATGTTCTCCAACTCCATTCACGCTAACACAAAATATATAAAGTCTCCATTTTTTATGGCTGAATAGTACTCCATGGTATACATGTACCACAGTTTGTTAATCCATTTATGGGTTGATGGGTTATTAGGTTGTTTCCACATCTTGGTGATTGTGAATTGAGCTGCTGTAAACATTCCAGTAGAATCTTCTTGTTGTAAAATGATTTTTTTTTTTTTTTGCTTCCAGGTAGATACCTAGTAAAGGGATTGTGGGATCAAACGGAATGCTTTTAAACTCTTTGAGGGATCTCCATAGTTCTTTCCATAAAGGTTGTACTAGTTTGTAATCCTACCAACAGTGCATAAGTTTTCCCTTCTATTTCCACACCACCATCTGTAGCTTTGGGACTTTGTGATATGGGCTTTTCTCACTGGGATTAGGTGATATCTCAGAATGGTTTTGATTTGTATTTCTCTGATAATTAGGGATGATGAGCATTGTTTCATGTGTTTTTTTGCCATTCATCTGTCTTCTTGGGAGAAGTTTCTGTTCATGTCTCTTGCCCAGTGATTAATGGGGTTGTTTGAGCTTTTCTTGATTTGCTTGATTTGTTTGTATATTCTGGCTATTAGCCCTTTGTCAGGTTGGTAACATGCAAATATGCTCCCATTCTGAAGGTTGTCCATTTGCTTTGTTTATAGTGTCCTTAGGTGTGCAGAAGGTTTTAAGCTTGATCAGGTCCCAATCATTTTTTTTTGTTGTGGCTGCTTTTGCCAATGGGGTTGTCTTCATTAAATCTTTCCCTAGCCCAATATTAGTAAGAGTTTTTTCCCATATTTTCTTCTAGAGTTTGTATAGTTTTGTGTCCTACGTTTAAATCTTTTATCCACCCTGAGTTAATTTTTTTTTGGGTGGGGGGAGACAGACTCTTACCATGTCACCCTCGGTAGAGTGCTGTGGTATCACAGTTCACAGCAACTTCCAACTCTTGGGCTTAAGGGATTCTCTTGCCTCACCCTCCTAAGTAGCTGGGACAACAGGTGCCTGCCATACTGCCTGGCTATTTTGTTGTTGTTGTTGTAGTTGTCATTGTTTAGCTGGCCCAGGCCGGTTTGAACCCACCAGCCCCAATATATGTGGCAGGTGCTGTAACCTCTGAGCTATGGGTGCTGAGCCATGAGTCAGTTTGTGTAAGTTGTGAGAAGTGTAGGTCCCAGCACCATGTAGCTAGGACTACAGGCATGTACCACCATGCCTGGCTAATTTTTTGTCTGTTTTTTAAATAGGGATCTTTTCCCCTAGAGTATGCTTTTGTTTGGTTTATCAAAGATCAGGTGGTGGTAAGAGGCTGTTTCATCTTTAGGTTCTCTATTCCAAAGATCCATCTATTTTTGTGCCAATACCATGCTGTTTTGATGACTATAGGCTTATAGAATAACCTGAAGTCTGGTAATATCATGCCTCCAGGTTGTTTTACTTCTAATAGGTAGAAAAACTATTTTAAAACTTTGTCAGTCTATACACTCTTTTCTTTTATGTTGAGGTATGCAGTTAAGTGTCCAGTTCAGTTAGTGTTAACATTGTATTCATCACCCATATTGAGCTATAGGACATTCCCTGCCCCCTCACCCCCTCAAAGGCTCTCTCAACTTCTGCTTACTTAATACTTCCTTGTAGGTTAATATTTCCTCGTAGGTAACCACTCTTCTGAGTTCTGTTACCATGCATCTTTTGCCAGCTAATGAACTTAATACCAATGGCATCATGGGGTGGGTATTTTTTTTTTAAAGGTAAATTTAGGAGAGAATATTTAGAATAACATTAATTTTCTTGCTAAATGAGGGAGGTTATGGCAATTGCTCAGGTAGTTTTAGCAGATAGGAGTTATTTGCCTCTCTTAAGTGAGAGGAGGTAGGAATGTGCCTTCCAGGTGAATCCTTTCTGGCTTATCAACTTTATTTTATTTTATTATTTATTATTTATTTATTTTTTGAGACAGAGTTCCACTATGTTGCCCTGGGTAGAGTGCCATGGCATCACAGCATCCTCAGACTCTTGGGCTTAAATGTTTCTCTTTTCTCAGCCTCCCAAGAAGCTGGGACTACAGGCGCCTGCAACAATGTCCTTTTATTTTTTGTTGCAGTTGTCATTGTTGTTTAGCTGACCGGGGCATTTCGAACCCACTAGCCTTGGTGTATGTGGCTGGTGCCGTAACCACTGTGCTATGGCCGCTAAGCCTATCAACTTTATTATTTATTTATTTAGAGACAGAGTCTCACTGTGCCACCCTCAGTAGAGTGTTGTTGTATCACAGCTCACAGCAACCTCAAACTCTTGGGCTGGCTTAACCTTCCTAATGCCACAATGTATTTTCATTGTTACAAAAGGGTTGTGACCCACAGATTGAGAACTGCTGGCTTAAGCAATTCTCTTGCCTCAGTCTTCCACTATCAACTTTATTTTAATACCTCTTAAGCCAAGTTTGAAATGGGAACGTAGATACTCTAATTCTGATAGGAAGCACTGCTTACACTCTACTTTCCATAAAACTGTGATCTATGTTTTGACTTTTTTTTGGAGGTGAGGGCTATTTGTTATTAATTTACATACTGGTTTTTTTTTTTTTTTTTTTTGGTAGGGATAGTCTTTTAGTAAGAACTAAAACTGAAGAAATGGTATCTCAACTTCATACTAACCTCCTTGGCTCCATGCTGACATGTAGAGCTGCTGTGAAGACTATGATTCAGCAGCAGGGAGGATCTATTGTGAATGTAGGTAAGTCTTCCCCTGTTGATTTGTACCTGCCCCACTACCATAAAAGTATTTAATCCGCTAATCTGGAATCGATTCACTTGTGAAACTTTGATGAATTTTATCTTTGTTTTATCTGTAGGAAAGGGAATTTAATGAACTGATTGATATAGATTTGTGATTCCTATTGTACTCATTCCCCATAGTGTTAGATGAGTGGTACCACTAGATATTAGAAAAATGACAGTGTTAGTCACATGACAGATGCAGTGTGGAGGCCACTGCTGCTCAGATCAAATAGATTGTGACTATGCTCCAATGTAGTCCTGGTTTTGCAGCAATTTTGATCTTTCAAAAGAAATTGGACATCCTGATTTTTATATGAAACCTTATTTTAAAAATATGGACAAGGAATTAAAGCAGATAGTGGGGGGCTAAGTAATAATGTCTGTAGCAGTTGTATGGGTCACTGATAAATCTAGGGCAGAGGTTTAAAGGAAATTCAAATTTCTCAGTTTTCGAGGATGAATATAAGACTGTAACCCTCGGTCTGTAGGTTGTCTGACCCACAGGGCAGATAAACTGTGAAGTGTGGGCCTGTAGAACTCAAAATCCAAAATGACTTTGAAATTCTATGTCAGTTTCATAATTTGGAAATAACAGCATACCACTAGCTTTTTCTTTTCTTTTCTTTTCTTTTTTTTGAGACAGAGTCTCAAGCTGTCCCCCTGGGTAGAGTGCCATGGCATCACAGCTCATAGCAACCTCTAACTCCTGGGCTCAAGTGAGTCTCCTGCCTCTGCCTCCCAAGTAGCTGGGACCACAGGCGCCCACCACAACGCCTGGCCATTTTTTGGTTGCAGCCGTCATTGTTGTTCGGCAGGCCCAGGCTGGATTTGAACCCGCCACCTTAGGTGTATGTGGCTGGCGCCTTAGCCACTTGAGCCACAGGCGCCGAGCCGGCTTTTTATTTTCAAATGATAATACCTTAAAGGCCAGAAAAGGGGTTGCTGCTCTATAAAGTACATGACCCTGTTCTTTAATACAGGAAACAGTTTTCCAAGCCAGAATTTAGGAACATTCTCTTTTAAAATGAATAAAGGAGAGAGTACTGAGTACTATGCTAAAAAAAAAAAAAAAAAGCTATGCGGATGTTAGAATATTTACTCTTAAAAATGTAAGGGATCAGTTTTCTTATGAAAGAGATTAGTAAATAAGTCACCTTTGCCTTGTTTTTTTTGATCAAGTGGGCAGGGACTAGGTCTCTTGTCACCTAGGTTGGAGTGCAGTGCTGCTAAGCTAGCTCACTGTAGCCTTTACCTGCTGGGCTCAAATGATTCTTCTGCCTCAATCTCCAGAGTAACTAGGACTACAGGTGCCTGCCACAACACCTGGCTAGTTTTTAAAATTGTTTTTTGGGCTTGGTGCCCATAGCATAGTGATTACAGCACCAGCCACATACACTGAAGCTGGCGGGTTCAAAACTGGCCCAGGCCAGCTAAACAACAACTGCAACAAAAACATAGCCGGACGTTGTGGTGGGTACCTGTAGTCCTAGCTACTGGGGAGACTGGAAGCAAGAGAATTGCTTAAGTCCAAGAGTTTGAGGTTGCTGTGAGCTGTGATGCCACGGCACTCTACCGAGGGCAACATGAGATTCTGTCTCAAAAATAAATAAATAAATAAATAAATAAAAACATAAAATTGTTTTTTGTAGAGGCAGCATTTGTTATGTTGCCCTGGTTGGTCTTGGACTACTTGGCCTTCCAGAGTGCTGGTATTGTAGGAGAAAGCCACTGTGTCCTGTTTACCTTTGCCTTTTTTTTTTTTTTTTTTTTTTGAGACAGAGCCTCAAGCTGTCCCCCTGGGCAGAGGGCCATGGCATTACAGCTCACAGCAACCTCCAACTCCTGGGCTCAAGCGAGTCTCCTGCCTCTGCCTCCCAAGTAGCTGGGACCACAGGCGCCCGCCACAACGCCCAGCTATTTTTTGGTTGCAGCCGTCATTGTTGTTTGGCGGTCCAGGCTGGGGATTCGAACCGGCCACCTTAGGTGTACGTGGCTGGCGCCTTAGCCGGTTGAGCTATAAGCGCCGAGCCACCTTTGCCTTTTTTTGCAGTTTTTGGCTGGGACTGGGTTTGAACCTACCACCTCCGGTATATGGGGCTGGCACCCTACTCCTTGAGCCATAGGTACAAGGCTTTGCCTTTTAACAGGGCCAGATAGTGACTTTGGGTTCTCATAAGCCAATGCATGGGCCTGTTTCTGTCACCTGATAACGTGAGTTCTGTTCTAAAATACTGTGTTTCCCCGAAAATAAGACACTGTCTTATTTTTTCTCAAGAAGACACACTAGGGCTTATTTTCAGATGATGTCTTATTTTTATTAAGTATAATACAATAATGTACATTTATTCAAATATAGTTAAGTCATCTTCTTCTGGAACCTGACGGGGGAGCTGACCTTGTTGATGGGGCTGGTGCTAGTGATGCGTGAACTCCTTTTCCCTAGCTGTTCACACTGTGCAGTAGGATGCCTGTGACAGCGGTTATCACACGCGCACCTGCGCAAGTGCGAACAGCTCGGAGAAAGGGGCTGTGGCAGATAAAAAGTATTCCAGTCTTCCTTACCGCTCTGCGCTGAAATGTATGGTGTGGGGTATTTTGAAATGCAGCATATCTGCATAGCCATGCCCATCACTAGGTCTTATTATCGGGGTAGGGCTTATATTTAACAAATGGATAGAAATCTTACTAGGGCTTATTTTTTGGGTAGGTCTTATTTTCGGGGAAACACGATATCCCCCCCTTTTTAGGTAATTTTGAAAACCCAAGTCATGGGTCAGTTTCTGTAAAACTTCTAGAATTGTGCTAAAAGTAAATAAAAATAGTTAATAGAAAGTAAATTCAGAGAGTCTTGTGACAGAAAGGACTATTTTGAGGTACTAGAAATTTTATTAATATTTCAGAAGTAACCATGTTTTATCCAAGTGAACAGTAGCATGTGGCATGAATGGAAGCTACGAGGGTTTCCTTTTTGGTCTTTCTTCCATGCATGTATTTTTCTTTTTCCTAAGTACTCCCTTTTCTATCTACATTTCCTTAGTTTGAAGTCTCTTCCTTTCTTGCTTCACTGCTCTCTTACACTGTCTCTGATTGGTATACAACATGTATTGTAGAGAAATATTTTAATATTGGACTTGTTGATTATAGTAGAAAAAGTGTTTAGAGTATTTTCTTTTTCTAAGATAAAATTCCTTTTTAAAAAATATTGTGAGGTTTTTGATTAACTTTTATAACATAAGTACAGGTCAGTGGTGCAGAAAATTACTTCCTCACTTCTGTTTTGTAAGAATTTGTTTGCATACAGTTGAATTACAAATTATTTTTAGCTATTTATCATTAAATGAACTCAAGGATCTTTATTAGGCAGTACAAGTTACGATAATCACTGAAAGTCATGAAATTACACTTCTGTAAAATGTTTATAATTGAAGCTTTGTCACTTTAGATTGACAGCAAAGGCAAATCTTGGAGGTATGGTGGGTTCAGATAAGTCTACTGAAGTAAAGTGAAAATTGCAATATAGTGAGCCACATAAACTTTTTGGTTTCCCAGTGCATATACAATTCATGTTTATACTGTCCTGTAGTCTGTAGCATTATGTCTAAAAGTGTACAATAGCATTATGTGTAAGAACAATTTATATACCTTAATTAAAAAATACTTTATTGTTAAAAAATGCTAAATTATCTGAGCCTGGTGAATCATAATCTTTTCACTGTTGAAGGATCTTGCTTTTCCTTGATGTTGATGGCTGCTGACTGATTAGGGGGGTGCTGCTGAAAGTTGGAGTTTTTGCGGCAATTTCTTAAAATAAAACAAAATTTGCTGCTTCAGTTGGCTCTGAAGTCTTCTGCAAATGACAGATGATCATGGTTAGAATTTCTAATTTTAGCAAGGACAGGGTGGGCTTTACCTTTTTTAATGATTTACTTTAAATTATGTGAATTGTCTTTTCTTTTTTTTTCCCCCCATTCAAATTTCCTTTATTATTTCTTATGTGAATTTTCAAATGTCCCATTAATTGGATTTAACTTTTTTCTTCTCTAGGAAGCATTATAGGTTTAAAAGGCAATTCTGGCCAGTCCGTGTATAGTGCCAGTAAAGGAGGATTAGTTGGGTTTTCACGTGCTCTTGCTAAAGAGGTAGCAAGAAAGAAAATTAGAGTGAATGTAATTGCACCAGGTGAGTGAAAACTTTTTATTAACATAACTTTATTGAGGCTTGGGGCCTGTAGCTCAAGCGGCTAAGGTGCCAGCCACAAACACCAGAGCTGGTGGGTTCAAATCCAACCCGGGCCTGCCAAACAACAATGATAACTACATCCAAAAAATAGCTGGGCATTGTGGTGGGTACTTGTAGTCCCAGCTACTTGGGAGGCTGAGGCAAGAAAATCGCTTGGGCCCAGGAGTTTGAGGTTGCTGTGATTCCATGGCAGTCTACCCAGGGCAACAGCTTGAGGCTCTGTCTCAAAAAACAAACAAACAAACAAAAAAAAAGACTTTGTTGATTATGGTTTTTGTTTTATAGAGAAGGAAGTTATTAATTGGCTCCATTAGTAGTCATTAATATCTGGATAGAATGGTTCTGTAATGATTGTGAAAAAAATCAAACAAGGGTAGGTGTGAGGTCTCCTTCCTGTAATCCTAGCACTCTGGGAGGCGGAGGTGGGTGGATCTCTTGAGCTCAGGAGTTCGAGACCAGCGTAAGCAAGAGTGAGAGCCCTGTCTCTTTTTTTTTTTTTTTTTTTTTTTTGAGACAGAGCCTCAAGCTGTCCCCCTGGGTAGAGTGCCATGGCATTACAGCTCACAGCAACCTCCAACTCCTGGGCTCAAGCGAGTCTCCTGCCTCCGCCTCCCAAGTAGCTGGGACCACAGGCGCCCGCCACAACGCCTGGCTATTTTTTGGTTGCAGCCGTCATTGTTGTTTGGCGGGTCCGGGCTGGGGATTCGAACCCGCCACCTTAGGTGTACGTGGCTGGCGCCTTAGCCGGTTGAGCTATAGGCGCCGAGCCAAGAGAGCCCTGTCTCTTAAGAAAAAAAAGAAAAAAACATAAAACAAAACTGGGCATTGTGGCAGGCACCTAAAGTTCCAGCTACTCGGGAGGCTGAGGCAAGAGAATCGCTTGAGTCCAGGAGTTTGAGGTTACTGTGAGCTGTGACGCTATGGCACTGTACCCAGGGTGACTGAGTGAGACTCTCTTCCCCATTCCCTCCCCCCCCCCAAAATCAAACAATGAACTGGTGACTATGAAAAAAAATTCCTTGTACCTCATATTTTTCAAAAACAAAAATCTTTACATTTTTTTGTAATTATGCAATAATTTTAGGTGGGAGAGAATCTTAGAGATCATTTATTTCTAGTCATTTTTGTAATTCAGAAGACTGAGAACTAGGATTCAGGGTAACTTGTGTAAGCTTACACGGCTAGTTATGGCAGAACTGTTACTGGAACTTTACTAAAGCTAAAAAAATGCATTATTATTGATTAACTCTTATGCTAGAAATTTTGGTTAGGTATTTACTTTTTTTTTTTTTTTGAGACAGAGTCTCACTATGTCACCCTCGGTAGAGTGCTGTGGCATCACAGCTTACAGCAACCTGCAGCTCTTAGGCTTAAGTGATTCTTTTGTCTCAGCCTCCCAAGTAGCTAGGACACACCACAACACCTGGCTATTTTTGGTTGTAGTTGTTGTTGTTTGGCAGGTCCGGCCTGGGCTCAAACCTGCCACCTTCCATATATGTGGCTGGTGCCCTAGCCACTGAGCTACAAGCACTGAGCCGATCTACTTTTTTTTTTTTTTTAAGTCATTCGTATATAGATCATAAATTCATTTATGCCATTATAGGATTCAATGTGTTCATTATTTGTATAGATTGGAATGCTTACATCCTACTAAACAACATAGCCTTCACCACTTTTACCCAATTACAGGATTAAGACATTTATGCTCTACACCTGATAGATGCAACTTGTACTTGCAGTATGTTCCATAGGTGTGATCCCCCTCCCAACCCTCCCTCTGTCGGCCCACTCCTCTCCCTTCCCCTCTCCCTCCCTTTCTCTCCTTCATCCTTAGGCTATAGTTGTGTTTCATTTTTCACATGCATGTGTGAGTAATTATAAATTGATTTCACAGTAGTACTGAGTACATTGGATATTTTTTTTCCATTCCTGAGATACTTTACTAAGAAGAATATTTTCCAGCTCCATCCATG